CAGGAAGAGCTCCGGTGCTGGTCGAGGAGGTGAGGAATCTCCTATTCCCCTTTCTCCTTCTCCTTCTCTTCTTCTTCTCTCTCTTCCCTTGAGTCCCCATGGTGTAGAATGAGGGCTCTATTTATAGTTTTTCTGGAGTGGCATAGCCCGTAAATAGGGGTGAGATCAAGGGCAAACAGGGAGTGGTTTGAATGGACGGCCGATATCGAATCTTTTGATCATGTACCGTTCGTTGGGCATTTGAAGACTTTAATGATGTCGGAATTCAATGATCTTAAGCTCGTTGGATTCGTCTCGTCGAGCCGTTCGATTCGAGTATAAGCTAGTCAAAATCGAAGACCGTTTGGTAACTCAAATTGCGGTTTGAACCTTCCAACAGCGCTTCGAACCTTTGATTCGGACTCATTTGGGCTCGGATTGGGTTGATCTTGGTGTCGTTGGGTTCGTATTTCCGAGACGCTCAGTTTGACTATAAGATCGCTGAAATCGGAGTTCATATGCTTCTGAAATTTAATTTTTGAAGTTTCCATCTAGCTTAAGCTTTAAGATTCGCGCCCGATCAAGATAATTTTTGTATGATGTATCAAATATTATTAAAATTATAAAATAAATGAGAAATTTTTCTCTAATACCTTCACTATACATTCTATTTTCATATCAAATTAATCAAAGAACATAAATATAGCATCAATTAAGTTTATAAAAAATAAACAAATAACACATAATATAAATGTGGCATCAAGTAAATCAATAAAATATAAACATATGTTTCATAAATAAGTAAATAACTCACAAAATGACACCTTGTGGCTCCAGGTCCCCACACGAGTGGTCTAGCCATCTTGCAACTCCCAGTTGCCGCATAGGATGACTAAACAAAATTGTATTGGGTGAGAAAGGTATACATTTTGTTGAGCTATATTTTGTGTTGGGTGTTGAGGAATGCAGGCCAACTTCAATTCTCTTTCTCTAGTATGTGAAACTATTAATAAATGAAATGATCAAAAGAAAATTTTGAAATCTTATAGTTTCTATCTTCAATTAGTGAAGCTCGAAAAATAAAATAAATATAACATACTTATCATAATTGTGCACATAATATGAAGTAAATAAGCAAAATATTATATTAAGATTATAACACTTCACACTAACTGATAAAAAAAATAACACATTCATAATACATATATGAAGTTAATAATGTTTCTCTTTCTTAGTTCAAAAGTTCTAATAATTTTACAAAAGGAAAATCAAATATCTCCTAATTTGCATCATGAAAGCTGTCCTCATAAGTTGAGTTTCCATATCCCACTTCACCAAAATCTGTAACCACAAATGCACCTAGATCATTTAAGCCAATTATGACATCTCAATCTCCTTCACTCTCTAGTTCACCTTCACCAATAAATTTAAAATATTAAATAAGAGTTTATTTTTATTTTATTTAAATGATATATTCATATTTCACTAGCTTATTAGTGTAGGTCGAACGGATGCTATGTTGGAAAAATGCCGGAAATGTTTCGAGCGAAATATTTTGTGCCAGAAGTCATTTCTTGATGCGCGTGGTCCGGCAAAAATATTTCCGCCGAAAATCTATCGGAAATGCAATTTTCTGACGAATTTGGCCATTTTCCGACAAAAATGGCCGCCGGAAAATGACATTTTCCTGTAGTGTTTTTTTTTTTAAAAGTTGAAACCTAAAGAATGAAACTATAATTTTAGTGATATTTATATATACATATAATATGATATATTGACAAACATATTAATATGTTATAATAAGATTATCCCTTTTTTAAAATTTAAATTACACCAAATATATACTAGGTCATTCAGTCGTTGATGCTTTATATGATTGAGTCTCTTTGAATGAATTTATTCAAAAATACTATAATTTTTTTGCAACTTGATGATGATGATGTTTGGCTTAGAATTCTTATAGCTACTTTTTACAAGTTTAGAGCACTTGATCCAAATATCTTCCATAACATATCTACATAATGTGATATTAGAGAGCTTAGTAAATATGTATATATGTTAGAAAAAAGGTCTAAGCATTTTAAAGAAAAGATAATTACCGTGTTGCATTTCCTTTGACATCATTAAAGCAATTAATTTTTCAGATCTTTTTAAGTAAATAGAATAATCTGACCTCATTCATTTTAAGTGTGGGCTTATGACAAATATCCTTATTTCCAAGTAATTCAATAAGACATTGTATAACTTCTAGCTTATGATAATAATTCTTCTTGTCGTATTAAAATTGAGGATTTAGAAAGTATGATGTTGTATAAATGCTTTGTCTCAATTAAGTATACCATCTTCTTTTAATTATACTAGTGAATGACTTATATAATATTTTATTATTCCTAAACATGGCTTTGATTGCCTTTTGTGTCATATATATTCCGTCATATATATATATATATCCAAGTGATGTTTTCTCATATGAGTCAACAATGTGCAACAACATGAACAAAAGACCTACTATCTTTAAAATTATTGAACAATCATTCCAAGACTTCAAATCTAAAATTTTATAGCTTCTTCTTTCCCTTTACATGTTTTGGATATCTTTGAATATGTAAAAAACTTGCTAGTAATTAATGTTTGAAGGCCATATTTATGCTCATAAACACTCTTCAAGGTTATAAAAGTTGTTGCAAATTATGTGGCTCCTAGACGTACAATCTCCTTCTAACTTGGTCTTTTCCTAAGCCATACAAGTACATAAATATGATTATAAGAAAAAATTATCATCTTGGATGCTTTCATTACTATGTCCTCTATGAGAAGCATGTTATCCAAGTCTTTTTAAAAATTAAATTCAAACAATGTATAGCATAAGGTAACTAATAAATATTATTAAATATTTCATGTAAAAACTCTTCTACTTTCTTATAATTAACAGTATTATCAGTGACAAGCTGAACAATATTTGCTGGCCCTACCCACTCAACAACCTTAGTAAAGAAGGAGCACATGTTTGTAGCATTCTTAGTGATATTTGAAGCATCCATTGATTTAAAAAAAAAATACCCTAGGTGGATAATAAATCATAAAATATATTAATGTTTTACTCTACCATCAGTCCATCTATCTGTCATGAGAGTATAACTTGTGTCCTTTTAAGTATTTTTATAGCTATGAATGAATCTACACTCCTCTTTACAATCTTTAAGTAGGTTAACCCTAATGTTATGGTAAGAGGGGAGCTTGTTACCAGGACCTATAATAACTATAACATCCACAACTTTCTGTGCATATGATAAATTTAAGGCACTGAAAGGGATGCTACAATCTAAACACCATTTGTTACAACTATGTCTGCATGGTGAACTACTTCCTTTGATGT